ATTATTAATCACTTTTATTTACTTAAAGATGCTTAATTTAATTATCACATTTAAAATCGTTAAATAATGAAATTCAAATAATATCATTGCAACCTAATTGGCTTTTTAAGAATTTGTGAAAGCAAAGCATTCAAGAATTCTAACACTATTAATTTACAAGACATTTTAGTAATTGTGATAATAATAATTATTTATTATTTTTCACAGTTAACTTAAGCTTTGTTATTCAATATAATTATTAAAAATATGATTTTTTTCCTTAAAGAAGAATGAATAAATTTTATGTTTAACCTGATATTAATTAATTAATTAATATAATTTATATGTAGATTTCTCTTTACTAACATTTCGGCTAAAGGATTGAATAGACATTTCTTAGTTCTAACATTACAATTACTATTCATCATCAAATAAAATACTTCTATTATACTAACTTCGGTTTTTAGAGTTGTGGACCAATTTTAGGAAGCACTTTATTGTAACTCTCTAAAAACTTTAATTCTTTGTACATTAAATTACGACCTTAATTCACTTGACGAAGCAAAATGAATATATTTATCTTACATATCTCCAAAACTAAGCATTGTTCCTTACTTTTAGGAAGTATCCAAATTAAATTAACTATTCATATGGATTAGTATTTTATCTTTTATGTATCTTTATGATAAACAGATTTAGAGAAACCTTATTAATCCATTTATTTTTCATCTCTTCGACTCAATTTCATAGTTTAATTGAATTACTCAAATTAAATTAATAATCTGCCTTAAGACTTATTAATAAATTGAAGAGGATTTTTATTATTCATCAACTTTAATGTTTAATCCATCCCTAATATAAACGTATACAAAGTAATCTAGAATTAATATTACAGAATGGTCAAATATTTTATTAGTTATTATTCATCTAAATATTCAATCTTCATCAAATATATATAGAGATATACATTCTATAATTTTATTATTAAAATTAAGACTATGAGCAATAATAGTAAAACACAATCCATATATTAATTCCTTGTTAACGTCTAATAAAATTTGACGTTAACTAAATAGTTATTTTTTTAGTTTCTGCTCTGTGTCATTGTGTGAGTAATTTACAAATATGTTATAAACTTACTTATACTGAGATCAAATATGGTAAAAATTTAAATTATGTCGATCTCTTAACTAGGTAATAATCCATTTTAAGCGGCCCTTTAGGGTTGATTTTTCATATTTTTATCTTATTATAATTTTTTATAATAAATTCTTAGTAAACATATTTTACACTAAAACACCAAACATATTCTCCATTATAAAGTACATTTTCTTCTCTAAAACAAAAATGATTTTTGCAATTAAATTCTCATAGATATTGAATCCTCTAGTTTCATTTTATCCAATATTCTCTTAAAATTACAAAAAATTTGGATCTTCATTAATTGTTATATTCTTCCATTTATCTTCATAATTAGTATATTAGTAAGTAAATCTTGACTATTTGCTACTTTAAAGTTATCAAATTTTATTATGGAGATAGTCCAATTTTAAGGAGAATAGAAGTATTTATAATTTACGCCAATCAATTTAAGGAAAAGGTTCACTACCTTTAATTCTATTAATAATAAGAGTGCATAATAATGTTTGATTTGACTACTTAGAAATTTCGGTTAAAATCATTTCAGAATGTTTAAATTAATATTTACTATTTATCTTATGATATCTGTGTAATTATAAGTTCATAACCATCTCAATCTTTATCACTATTTAAGGTTCTAATAAGAGTAAATGCATTTGATTTCACAGCAGATATTAAAACTATATAAAATAAGACTTTAGTTATTGACTTTCTCAACATCTAATGATTTTGGAGATTCAAGTCTTTTTAATTTAGACTGAAAAGTTGGATTTTATGATTCTACTTTTTTCTTTTTTTTAATTGTTGAGAACTACTAATAAATTTAGTTATATAGAAATTTACTCTCTATTATTGATTTTTTATTCCCCAAATTATTCCTAAATTATAAAATCTCTAAATTTTCTAATATATTTTATGTATCATACTAAATGTATGATTTTTTAAGTAATTACAAACTTTAAATTTTATGATATGTATTTTCTATATGAAATTTCAAATTGAAAAAAATATAAAAATATTCAAACATAATTTTCTAAAAAAAATATCTTTATAATAATTAATAGTAAAAATTACTATTTAAATTTGATAAATTACAGATTAAGTGTGATAGCCGTTATAGTTTTAGAATATAAATAATCTAGATAATTTCTTTTAAATTAATAAATGTCAAGCAAAATATCCTAGAAATAAGATTGACAATAATCATGTTTGTAACATAAATAAAGATAATGGGAATGTATAGATTTCCATCTCCAAACATAAAAGGATTTATATACTTTAAAAAATTAATAGTTCTATTCTCATTTACCTGAATCAGAAGAATATCTAAATAAAATGTGGAAAGGAACTCATTTAACTTTATTGTATATAAAAATATTCTGTTTGATGTGCCACTCTAATTTATAATTCAAAAAAGTATACAGAATAAGGATTACACTTTTATTTTATAGATAAAGTGAATATAGATTACGATTAATGGAAGTAAGAGTTTCAGAAGGAGAATGTAATTGGATGATATTTAATTGAGAGGATTAATTATTGATTGAATATTCTTTAATGAGAAAGAATAAAACAGAATATTAAATTCATAAGAGATATATTAAATTACAATATTCAAATAAAGTTTAATTTTAGGAAATTAATAATTAATTACTTTATAAGATCAACTTAGAGGATAATATATCAACATAATATTAAGGAGACATTTAATAAGTTCAATTAAGATCTATATACAA